AAGGGTTTCATTTATACTTGTTACAAAATATGAATGTCCGGTTTTCTGTGTTAGTAAATATTCCTTAAACCTTAGGTAACTATGCAGACGAATAAAACAAAATTGCCCATGCGCAACCCAACTTTTGTTTTTGCGCAATACCAATTTTGTATCTGTTAAGATATTTAAATGAAATCTTGTACGTAGGCACCTCAAATAGAATTAAAATTGTTGTCGATCAAAAAATTTGGTTTGCGCATGCGCAATCCGAATTTTTGACATCTCCGTTTAGTTATGAACCGAATTACATGAAATTTTGTACGTATGCACCTCAAATAAAAGTAAAACTAATGCCGAATCAAAAAAAATGTTTTGCGCATGCGCAATTTCAAATTTTTTATTTGTTCAGATATTTAAATAAAATTTTGTATATACGAACCTCGAATAAAAGCAAAACTAATGCCGATTCAAAAATTTGTTTTACAAGTTATGCTGATCTGGTGGGACAGAATCAATCTCTTAAGGTGTGTTGTAAAAACGATGTATGTGCGAAGATCTCTCACACAGAATAGTACGGGAATCGAGACGATTTGTAAATAGCGCGGCTCTTCGTTTCAGAAAGCACAAATAAGTAGATACATTTTGCAGTACCTACTCTTAAATAATCTCTTTTCCGAGCTCTTTTCTTATAATATTGTGGATTCGCTTTTGCGCTTTGCGGTAAATGTAATAATTTTTGCTGATCTGTTTTCCGTGATTTCTCGAATATTCACAGTGGAAGCCACAAAGAGACAAACAGTTCATAATTAAACGAAATGCTTAATGAGCAAAAAACGATATACCTACTCGTGGAGAAACCTAATTATGTATGTCTATTTAACATTTTCCGAGAGGTTCTTATTCAAGTAAATGGAAAATCTTCCTAGATCGTGTTATTTTATATTTCTTATAGGTGTAAGTTGTAACACAGGAGCCTGTACCTATGCCTACAAAAATGCGGAGAACGGTAAATATAGAATAAGGATAGTGCTGGAATGAATGTTTAACAGTGGCATTAATTGTGGTTAGTTAAAAGTGGTCGAGGAGTTACTTATTTAAAATGTGTGTAAAATACATTGCGATCAAAAATGAGTGACCGTCGAGTCACCTTTGGAATTTTTGTTTACATGGGAAATCGTACTTAACTTCAACTTTCAAAGGCGACTCGACAGTCACTCATTTTTGATCGCCCGATACAAATAACTTACAACTAAATTTTGAAACGAAACGTAATAAGCGAGGTAATAAGATATTTGGGTCTGACAATATGAAGATCCCGGCATCCCGCTAGCTTTAAAAATATCACACGGATGAGTGTGCCGTTATTTGAAAGATTACTCCAAAAAGTTGAAGGATTAATTACCAAGCAAGGCACTATTTGACAGTGTGTTTCTGAAAACACCAGTAGGTAGAAGTACAACAAGACAACCAAATATCAATATAAATTATTACCAATATTTATTGTTTAGGTATGTTATTTACTCCTTTCATTCCATGATTTGCATATTATTTCCTTATGATTTGTCTTATGACCGCCATAATACCAAATGTAGTATAGTGTAAACGCAAATCCAATGCAAATCACATTATGATAGTGTAAAGGTCCCTTTAGACTTTTTTCTATAATGCGTTCAAATATATTGTAAAAAACAGGCAGGAGTGCAATGGCCATATATTTTCTATAATCTCTTAAACAATGCCTTTTTTGAACAGGGGTAAAGCAAGTGCCACCTTTAAGCAGTCAGGAAAGGTACCGGATCTTAGGTAACCATTTATCTCGCCATTTATCATCGATGTATTTCCTTCCCCTGCGATTAGGTGAGAGCCTGGGTGTATTCTGCGATTAGAGGGAGCTTCAACTGTTTCTTTCCCGGGAAACACCGGACTACCTATCATAATCCCTAATTAGTGAATTTGGTACAGTAAAATCTTTATTTCTGCACCAATTTCATCGGGAAAACTGCAAAACACTATGCTCTAGTCATACTAGTAGGTCAAAATGTTCATTAATTTCGTCACGTAAACTGCAAATTGCATTGCATTGATGCACAATAACTAACTTATATGCTCTTTCCGTCTTGGTAATTTCTTTTGTTGAAAACGCAGTAAAAAGTGCCACTGCAATAGGTAGGATAACGATACCAATCTACGTATAAAAATGCGCTATCGTCTTTCGCACATGTGCGTAAACTTTTCTTTTTAATTTGTTTTCACTTTTCTTTGTGTAAGTATATGCGTTTAGTTAGATCAGATCTGACAGAAATTAAAAATGTATGCACCTATACGGACAAATAGCAGTATCTCTTATCATTTAAAGTCGCCGAGCGCGTTTTAGGTACCTAAAATCAGCGATAAGTAGTTTTAGGGTAATTTTTGGCTCTTACTGCACACGCGCTAAATTCAATTTCGTTATCAACTGAACCTCGTATACTGGATATCGTTTACAAACACATTAATATACAACAGTATTGTTCAGTACTTCCTAGGGTTTTGTGATATATTTGAGGATATGCTGTCTAAGATAAGGATGCCTAAGAGGATGTCTATCATGCCATCATGGGGATCTCGGAAACCATAGAAGTTATACGACGATGGTTAAATTACGGTAAACTTGCGCAATTAAAGAGTTATTATCGTTATTATCGGTTAATTTTAAAGTTGCACTGTTTCCAATTTACAATTTGAAGAAAGCTAAAACAGTCAAAGGCAATCGAACTTTGTAGATCAAGAATATGAAATCGTTTCCCAATATTCATACAAATGAAGAAGTTTTTTCCTATATCAGGACGGGAGTTTCTCGGGAACCAGAACAGATAGAAGGATAGAACTTGCGGCTTTAACTATGTTTGTATAGTGTTCTCTCTCTCATTTTGTAAAAATACTTCCAAAATTCCTAACCTAAGATGGTGAGTGAATCCCTAAAAAAGTGGAGCGGCAGAAATTCTGATCTCGACGAAATTTGGTATCTGGTGGTTTTCGACATCGGGACATCCAAGTTGCGACACCCTGTACAAGGGCAGTGTGCGTTCATAGAAAGCCGCACATATTCAATAGGTAAAGTCATAAAAAAATGTGCAACTTGGGCAAAATAAACTTTCCCTGATCGAAATTGAAAATTGAAGTATAGTAGGATTATTCCTGGATGCAAATCGTTTTGAGTGACATTAGTTTACTAGATGACTCATAAACTTAAATCAACTGATCTCATGTACAATCCCGCCAGCCTGAATGAATGCACGTTTAATCAGTACTTAAGTAGTGCAAGCTAGTGTCCTCTTGACAAGCATATCCTTAAATATATCAACAACTGATTACGCATATATCGAGTGCCCAAGAGGTACTAGCGGCTGGCAGTGTCGATAACCATATCGATATCCATTCTCCAAATGCTGCTAACCAGTACATCAAAATATCGTAGGTACCCGGTCATTTTGAGATAGTACGCAAACGATGTACTGGCCATTATGTACCCATTCGCACGCAAATGACAGCCAAAGCTCTAGCTCTCTATTTCATCAGGAAGTGAGATGAGGTGGCAATCGTGTCGAGTTGTACAGGGACAATTGCTGGCGTAGTTCTACAATTCGGAGCCCAAATATGCGATTAATCCTCGCCATTAATGAGCCAAATCCAATACTTTTCGTTTTTATTCTTGACACAATTTTTGCCCCAAGGCGACGTGGGAAGGCCCGTGACGAACCAATCATCTAGCTAACAGATTGATGAAGGTGTTCTTTTTCGATGATTTAGATTATGGTGCGCACCATAAAAGAAAGTTTTAGCAAAGGTCATAAAGTCACGGTTTGTTATAAAAGCGCAAGTTAAGGTAACGCGACAATACACATTCTCTAGATGAAGTGTAGATGAATAATTAAGGCAGCGCGTTGGAAAACGGTTTTTATTAATTAATGTGCCATTTTAAATGCGAAATTAAGCACACTTCCATCGATTTTACAAGCAAGAAGTGTGCATGGGGACCTGACACTTACCTAATCATTTAAAATTGACGTGGGAGGTCAATCGAAACCTCTTTTTTCCACCAATTAAAACTTGTCAATTTTTCAACCTTGAGTTGAATACGCGATAATTTCAATTCTCTCATCCCTTGAATTAGAGAATAGGTAGTCGGAAGAATGGGAGGGATAATTATAGTTTGGGATACATTGCCCGTAAACACAATAAATTTCTTTCACTGATCCCTTTCGAGTCGGATTTGTTATTTTTGACTTTTATTATCCATCGACTCCAATAACGGAAAAACGAGCACTTTCCCTTTGAAAACCACCGATGTAGCTCAATAGGGTTTCATTGTTTTCAATACCGCGCTCCACATGGTCACCACTATTCATTTGAACGTTTTTGTTTTATAATGCTATAAAATAAAATGTAAAACAGAATTTTATATTTATAATAGGTGAATAGAATCATCAAAGGCGACAATAAAGGCAATTATAGGTATATTTTCTAAATGAAATAATCGCAAATTTGAAAGCGAAACAAAAGTGAAAACCGTACGGTATTATAAATCTTTCATTCGTCGTATTTGAATATATAAATCCATGTTAACTGATCCATGGATTTAAGTTAAGAAGTAAGAATGAACTTGTCCATTGTTGCAGAACGTATACACATACACCTACGGACAAATAAGTGGGATTCGGAATGATAAATAAATGGTATTAAATTGAAATTTGCATAATATATAAATTATTAATGAAGAGGGCGACACATCTTTTGAATGTGCTCTTGAAAACTTTAAACCTCACACAATGCAATAAATTTACAAACACCCCTAATTCGTATGCTCTTTTAAATCCGCACATTCATAAATAGATCAATAACGTTATCTTAATTTGGCAGGCGAAGATTTTCAAAAATTCCCTCTATGAAGCAGCAATTTAAAACGCGGGGCCGCTCCTTCCGCTATCATTTTTGAAACTGTTTGGATCGCATCGGCGAGGAACTGAAAAGCACATGCTTACCTGTCAAAGTTAACTGTTCAGCCGCTGTGGGTATATAAGGTTGTTAACTGGATTGTAGTTTGAAGATACTCATTGTTGGCAAAGTTTAAAAATATTAGAGTGGTAAGTTGCGATCACTCATTGTGAATTTACCATCACGCACATGTAGAAGTTTTAACTAAGAAGGGCATTCAACTTTGTGCGATCAGTATTAATAATACGAAAACAAAAAGCGCGAAGCGTGTACATGGAAACGCGAACACGGAGCGAACACAACCACCTGCACTTAGTGACCCCGGTAAATGTAGCCGTAGCCGTTAGCTTCGCAGAGCGGGAGCGGCGAGCCGACGGACGAAGTCAAAACGCGCGGTCAGATCGCGGCCGTGTACGAATCTTCATCTAAAGCTAAACCATTCAAAATTGTTATCCGTCTTCGGTTACCTGGTGGAAAGTGGAGGTGGCAATTTTGCTTCTTGTTTATATATGACGTCCCCATTGTAGTAGGTAACAATTCAAATGTTACAGGAAGACAAGTTGGATTTGCGCCATCTATTCCGACATTTTCGTTTCGCGCAAAACTATTGCCATCTACCTCGCAGTACTGTCACAAATAATTAGTCTACCCTTATTTTTCATGTTATTATGCAGAAATATCCTGTTCTAACGCAGAAAAATGGGTTGCTAATTCGTGCGATTTGAATTCCCAATATCTTGCAGAACACGATTTCTAATATGTATAATATTCAAATAAAGAATGAGATTTCAAAAAATTTAAAATGGCCTTTCAATTGTAATGATTACGTTTCTTCGAGACGTGAAACGATCACGGTCCCTTCACGCCGAGCATGACCACAATTGCCCAATTCTCAACAAGGGTCACAAAACTCAACGACGCCCTTGTTTAAAATTACCTGGCGACGCCGTATTGAAGTCAATCCTGACCACAAACTTTCAAGTCCAAAATGAACACAACCCCCTACTTGACATTAACTCGCACTTTAATAAACCATTCAAGGCCCTATCAAATCATTGCCGTTTTTCGCTTTCCTGATTCCCTTAAAGGGGTTAGTTAGCAGAACACTGGCGGCACAAATTTTAGTACTGTGTTGATTAGTGCTACGTTTGTGCCCAGTGCTGTATTGGAGGATATGCGGAATACGCGGGTATACGACGTATATGTTTAAAAGTAGAAATGACAATTTGCGAGATACGCAAATATACCTACGGTCGTATACGTAACTTTAAAACAGTGCTGAAAATCTTGTATTGGTAATGGCTTTTATACTTTGCGTCAATTACTTGAGAACGCATATTTACTGTTAGGGTAACTTCTAGGACTCTGGGTAACCAGCTTTCGAAATACTAACGAGCGAGACTGCAAGAGTTCCTAGTGAGTTTCTAGCACCTCTCCCCTCAGTATAATATATCGATGGCATGGCAAGAACATCGTATACCCTTAACGTAATTTACCAATACACCACTGTTTGTGCCGTAAAAAGTTTCTCAGTAAACACGTATATCTGTAGTAAAACATACCGTTTGGATTTGGTTATGCGTACACGTTTATTGGCACAAATTTGGTCCCTCTATATTACTTAGAGCATGGCTCATTCATTTCCAACTATCAGTAGGTACTAAACTATACTTACATAGTAATATTTATGTAATAATTAAAATTAATGTATAGCCAATACTGATATAATTATCGAGTTCACTGCATTAGTTAAGGAAAAGCCTAGTTATTGCCACTGCTTTTTATGGGTCCGTCGGGCGTCGACTGATTAGTTCTGTAAAGATTAAACTTCCTTTGAAGGCTTTCAGTATGATACTCTTCTTGTACTTTTGTACCTTTTTTTAATATCTTGTACTCACCGCGCGCCCCCGTACCAAGGGTCGCATGTATTTTTCTAGGTAGGCGTTAAGAAAAAGCAAGACTATCAGATTAGTATCTAAAATATCTGCTTTTAGCGCATTTTCCAAAAGGAAAATGGACGCTATTCTCCGCATTTCGTCTACAGTTTAAGATTTTTCGTTGTGCGGTTTCTTTTTTATACGGTGTAGTACAGCCCAGAGACCAGAAAGACAAAAGTTTTGGTCACTTCCTTCCCGAGTTATTACTGATTCTGTGCAGAGAAAATGCGCTTTCGTCGGTCGCTTGAGTTTGTTCTGTTTTTGTTTTGTATCCCAATACAACTTGGTTATTGTTTAAAAAAATCAGTAAGTGATGTACACATTTACGTAGCGAATCGTCTATTACGAGAGCTGTAACTTTTGTGATAGGTACTTCAAACGTTTTTGGTTCCTTTTTTGAAATTATTCTCAAGATCTACAATACACCATTTAAGCGCACATAAAGGTGTTGCCTCTCTTCGTTTCAGAAATTATGCATTTTTTATAAAAACTCCACTTTACATAAGGATTCGTTTATTGCGAGTACTGTAATTGTTGTAGTACCTAATATACTGTTAATCTTGTCATAAAAAATGACTAGAAGTAGCCGTAAGCGTTGTGAAGTAGTGAAGTGTTTTTAAGGTGGCGTTTACATTGAAAAAGTGGAAATTTGTTTCCACAATAACTTCCTTCTGGGTATACAGTTTTGGTTGAAATAACATTCATTCAAATATACAGGGTGGTGCACGGTAAGTAGGAACATAGGGATTTAACATGGGAAATTAGTTTATAGCAAAATCCTGCTCTCCTGTACATTTTACAGAAGAAACTGTTTTTACATGTTTCATTAAGCTTTTCGTATACCCGAAAATTTAAAAATAAATTTCAACATTTCTGTTATTAGTAGCAATAGCCATGACCTTTGTTGTTTTATGAATTGCCATTAATAACAGAAATGTTGAAATTTGTTTTTAAATTTTCGGGTACCTATACGAAAAGCAGGATGTTGCTAAAAACTAATCTCCCATGTTCAATCCCTATGTTCCTACTTACCGTGCACCACCCTGTATAATGTTCCGATATTTGCATGAAACAAAAATTATTTAGCTAATTCCTCTACTTTCGCCGTTATTTAAGAAAGAAGTTCTTAAAAAACTCCCATATGAAATATATATCTTTCATTTTTATCACACACTGATAAAAATTTGTTATCAAATTTAACTTCATTCACAAGCTTAAACCTTTAGCAACCATCGGTCGTTAACAGAAGTTAATTTTTTTTACCTCGAAACAAAGTTATTGAGGAAATCGCAAGGCAACTTTTTTACTTTTTGTAAACGCCACCTTTCATCTTAAAGAGAATAAAACGAAAAGTGACGACTAGTTTTTCATTTTGGTTATTTCAAGAATGGAACGAAAGAGGAAAGGTACTTTATTCCAAAATAAAAGATTGAGTTTTGTACTACTAGAGTAGGTACTAAGACAACTCGTAATTCTAGGACCTCCCAAAGCAAATTTCTGATTGTCCCACTGTACAAGCTAACCAATATTCCTAGCTATTTTAGTGAAACGATGATTTGCCATTAAAATTTAATCATGAACATAAATTCCCCCCCTGGTTTTCACAAAATTTAATTCAACTTATAAACAAGAAGCAAAAAGCACACAAAAAGTATAAAACCTCTGGTATGCTGTGTTATTAAAATGAATTCAAACGCTTACGAGGATTAATCAAAAAAGAAACACGTATCTTGTATAAAAATTTTACTGGTCGAACTGAACAGGTGCTTAAGACAAATCCGAATAAGTTTTGGTCCTATGTACGTAGCAAAAAAGGAGTAACACGTATTCCAAGTGAGGTTGAGCTTGAGTGTAAATCTCAAATTTATAATACTTACTCCTCAAAATATTGTTGATATTTTCGGTTCATATTTTGCAAGCGTATATGAAAAAGGAGGCCTTTGTGCCAAAATTATTAATGTTTACATCGACAGCCCTCATCTTCATATTAATTCTGTCTCTGAGCAGGAAGTCATTGAAGCCATAAAAAGCTTAAAAAACAAACCGACCGCCGGAACTGATCAAATACCTGCCTTTTTAATTAAAGATTGCTCTTGTATTCTAACATATCCTTTATCAATTTTGTCTAACTTATCTTTAAAACAAGGGACTTTTCCAGCTGTTTGGAAAGTTGCTAAGGTGTGCCCGATATTAAAAACAGGTTTGGCATCTAAAGTTGAAAATTATCGCCCCATATCTATTTTATGCAACTTCTCCAAAGTTTTTGAAACAGTAGGTACTATACAAAAAACTTTATCAAAAATTTAACACGCAGTTGTCTAGTTACCAACATGGTTTCGTTCCCAATAGATCAAATTTGACTTGCTTTGTGCAATATTGTTCTGAAGCACTAGATAATAGACAGCAAGTTGATGTTATTTACAAAGATTTCAGCAAAGCCTTCGACAAAATTGATCATAATATTATTTTGAACATGTTCTGTTGAATATGGTTTCAGTTGCCCTATTGTTCATTTAATGAAATCATATTTAACTAACCGACGTCAATTTGTTTCCTAGGGGTATGACTCACAATCATTTATTCCTACATCTGGAGTGCAGCAAGGGTTAACTCTTGGTCCCTTTCTCTTTTTAATATTCTTTAACGATTTACCCTCCGTAATTTCATCTCAGAGATTATTGTTTGCGGATGACTTAAAAATTTTCACTAGGGTCACAAGCCGCAAGGATTGCGAGAACCTTCAAAGCGATTTGAAAAGTGTTTATAATTGGTGTAACGCAAACAGGTTGTACCTGAACATTGATAAATGCAAGGTGGTAACTTTTTCACGCAAGCGTGAATTAATCCGATCCGATACAATTATCAAATTCAAAATACACCCTTAACAAGAGACACGCAAACAAAAGATTTAGGGGTTCTGTTCGATAACATGCTAACATTTAGCTTACACATTGATACAATATTGTTAGGCAATCTTTTATTATACTCATACGCATTGGTTCAGATTTTGCAAATTTGTCAACTATTATACTACTTTTTTCTACATTTGTACGAAGCAAGCTCGAATATGGTGTACTAGTACCTACCTATGGAATCCAGCATTTAAAAAACAAGAAGAATACCTAGAACCATTGAATAAAAACACTATTTTTATTCAATGCTAGAACGTATACAACTTCGTCTTTTAAAATACCTAGCATTTCACGGTGATGGATACTACCCTACAAGAGGCTACCCACAAAATCTACTGCTAAAGAGATTCAATCTTTTACCCTTAAGCAGCAGACCATTGAATAAAAACACTAATTATTCAATGAGCAGACGTAAAACAATAAGTGTGTCGTTCTTGTACAAATTATTATGGAATGAAATTGATTGTGTAACATTACACTGCAATTATTTAAATTTCTCTGGGCCTCGTTCTTTCCACCAGGCATTTCCTAACTTTTAAATTACCCTATTGCAGAACAAATCTCTTACAAAA